CATTTATAGTTACCAGGGGCAGATTCAGGTTTTGTTGTGTCTGAGCACATAAACATTGGGGAAGGCGGGGTTTAAAGATAATATATGTAATAACCTTACTTTTATAAATTTTATAAAAACCTATGACTGTACTGAATTATGGCCAGGGTCCCTCCCAAAGCCTCTGGAAGAAGTCTGTGAAAGTGGGGGTGTAGGCTGGGAAGCTGAAGGTCAAGTGGCTTCCCTCCACACTTCGCCTTTCAAGGCTAATCCATCCTGCTTGGCTCCAGGTCTTCTGTGAAGTCTGAGTCACTTTTCTGTCCTCTTTCTTTATTGGGTCACTCATTCCAGGTTATAAATCTGATCATGATCCTCTCAAACTTAGAAAAACAAAGTAAGCAATCAACCCTAAGTCAACTCCCAAATTCCTCCAGCTTTCCTTTCCAGCCAGCTAACTGCTCTTTTTCCATTAACAACAAGATTTTGGAAAAACTACTGTCCTGTCCTGTTTCTCCTCCATTTTCAAATTCGCTGTTGAGACTGCTTTGGCTAAAGTCACCATTGATGATTTGGTTCACTTAAAAGTCATTGTAGATTTTATAAAAGCAAGTATTTGAATTACGAGAGTAATAACCGTCCTTCTAATAACTTAAATAATAATTAAAATGTCTAAAATTAAAATTAAGTCCCCTCTCATCCACTTTAAGAGTATTGCTATATGTCCATTCTTTTTCTTTTTCTTTTTCTTTTTTTTTTTTTTTGTTTTGGTACTGGGGATTGAACTCACAACCTCGCACTTGCCAGGCAGTGCTTAAGCCACTGAGCTAAATCCTCAGTCCTTATATGTCCATTTGTAACAATTTCATGTTTAGTGTCCCTACTTGTCACTTCATTTATCCAATTTCAAAATAGATATGTGTGCAACTGTTACATAGGATTTCTCTTTCTCAGTCTTTTTTCTGTTCTCCACGCTCTCTCATCCTTACTTCATTCCTTCTAAATACAAAATTTTATTTTTCTTTTTTGACACAGGATCTTGCTATACAGTTCAGGCTGACCTTGAACTCACTATGTAGCTCAGGTTGGCTTTGAACTCATATTTTCTGCCTCAGTCTCCTGAGTGTTGGGATTATAGGCATGATTCATCATAGCCAGCTAAAAAATTCTATTATATATTCTGTAACTTGCTTTTCAATTAACAATATATCATGGCCATCCTTCAAATCCATACATATAGATCATTAAGTCCTTGCTAGCAGTTGTATAATATTTTGTAGTAAGGAATTACAGAATACTCTGCTTGTCAAACTATTCCCCACCAAAGGATATGCAGGTTAGTTTGATTAGGCTGAATCGTAAGAACTACCATCTTCTAGGTTTTTTGGGTTTCAGTTCTATTTTAATGTTATAATATCCCTATACACATAACTTCAAAACGTTTGCTTCTATGGATAAATTCTAGTTTGGAAAGTGTCTATGCTTTACTCCCAGGTTGATTTCTTAAAATGTTGGCATAATATTACAGACCCATCAGTGATTCTTTGGAAAGTTGTAAGTCCCAGGGTCTGTTTTAGTATTTCTCTCAGCAGGACATTGTGTTTGCCTTCACTCAAGACATTGTGTTTGCCATTATGGGCCGTATTTTTTGTGGAAGTATTTTCAACCAGTTTTCTACTTGCCTCTTTGGGTCACTTTCCCTTTTTTTTTTTTTTTTTTTTGTTTCGTCTTAGTTATTGTGCAGCACATGGTTTTGCCCTCGTTCACCTTCTGGTATATTTAATCTTCTTACATAAGTCCATGGTTCCAAATAGGTTTTTTTTTTTTTTTTTCCCTTTTCTTTTTTGTGATGGGCATGGAACTCAGGACCTCATGCATGCTAGGCATTTGCTCCAACACTGAGCTATTCTGTGGTCCTCTCCCATTAGAAGCTTAACCCTCAACCACTGTTACTCCAAATTTGAATTAGAAAAAGTTTCCTTCCTTAATATGTGTGTGTTAGTGGGATGTGGTGGCAAATACTTGTAATCCCAGCATTCTTGGAAGGCTGAGGCAGGAGGATCAGGAGTTTGAGTTCAGTGTGGGTAATTCAGTGACTTTGTAAGACCCCATCTCTCTTTAAAAAAAAAAGATGCACTGTGACACTTATGACCTCATCCCTTTTGAAATGCTCTTTATGCATTTCTTAGAAAAGAAGACTCCCATTTACTCTTAGGTAGCTAATCTAGAAATTCAACCCAGAGTTCTTCTTCTTCCTTCACATATGATAGGTTACAAAGCACTACTGTTTTGATCTCATAATTGTTTCTCAAATCCATTATTTTTTATCTTTTGTTTACCATCTTTATTAGTGCACATTGGTTACACAGTTTAAAGGGTTTCCTTTTGGCATATTCAACATGCATATGATAGACTTCAGTCACCTCTCTCTCCATCTTTGTTCCACACCACTCCCTAGTAACACATTTTTGGGGGAGGGTTTCAATGCATACTTTAAAAAAATATACTCATGCTCCGTATTTACCACCCTTATGCCTTCTCTCTCTTCTTCCATTCCTCTTGTCTAATAATAGTCTCCTGTCTGTTTTCTTGACATTTTTTCCTACAGTCCACATATTAGGGAGAATGTGTAATATTTATCTTTGAGTGGCTTATGTCACTCACATCATTATTTCTGGATCCATTTTTCTACAAATGACAAAATTTCATTCTTTTTACAGCTGCATAATATTTTATTGTATATACAGCACATTTTCTTTATTTGTTTATCTATTTCAGGAGACCTGGGCTGGTTTTATATCTTGGTTGTGCTACAATAAATGTGGGCATTCAGTACCCTTATCGTATGTTGACTCTAGGTAAATACTAAGCAGTGGTATAGCTACATCAAATAGTAGTTCTAGTTTTTGAGGAGTCTCTGTCTTGATTTCCATAGTGAGTGGAGTAACTTAGATTCCCACTGGCAGTGTAGAAAGGCCCCCTACCCCCATTCCCAGGAGCGTTTGTTTCTCCTATTCTTGATAATAGACACTCTGACTGTGCCAAGATAGAATCGCAATGTAGTTTTGATTTTCATTTCCTTCAAATCCATTATTTTTTCTCAACCCTTAGTGCTGCTGTCCCAGTCAGAGGTTTCCTAGACTTTATTGTCCACATTGTCAATATGCTGAAATCTAAACTTGTTAGCATGGCTTTAACAGTTCTTTATTAAGAAACCCAATGATCCATCTTCATTTCTTGACATACTCCATAGAACCCTGTCTTCAGTCATAGGGATCTACTTTCAAATCCCCAACATACCAAGCTCTCTAATAATTCAGTGCCTTTGCACCTGCCATCCTTATGCTTGAAATTCCTTGCCAGTCTTTTTGGCCTGGCAAACTCTGTCTTGTATTTGAAGCCTCAGATCTAGAATTATTTTCTGTTCTTTGAGTTGTGTAGGCAGACTTAAGCCCTTCTATATTTAGCAATTTTAACACTGGTGTTAATTTTATTAATTAGGGTTTCCAAACTAAGCTGTAAGCTTCTTAATAGTTGGGACTATGATTACCCTCATCTTTAAATCTCTGACATTTAACACAGGGACTGGTATCTAATAGGCACTTGCATGATTGAAAAGCAAATTAGTTACATAATAAGAATAGCATTCTGGCTAGGGCTTAAAGTTTAAACTACAGATTTTTACTTAAGAGTAGCTTAAAAAAATTGTAGTGAATTAATGGAAATTGAAGAAAAGTACATCTTTAAATGTAATGCCTATTTTCGTGGATTTTTTCATTTACAAAAATACGTGATGCATTTAGCTTACACACATGCATACATTTTTCATAACAGTAAAATGTAAATGCACTTTCACTGTTTAAAAAGGTACACATTTTTCAACACTCTTGCACAACCCTCCTAACTAGGTTGATTCATGTCCTGCTTTTCATAACTTGAGTGGTTTCGGGTAAATGACTGAATCTTTTTTTTTTTTTTTTCTTTTTTGGTACTGGGGATCCAATTCTCTACAGCGTACTTGCCAGGCAGGCGCTTATGCCAGTGAACTAAATTCCCGACACAAGTCACTGAACCTTTAAGGTTCTCATTTTCTTGGTCTATACAATGAAAACTATAGGTAACTAGTTTTGGGTGTCAAATCTGATAATGTAGCACCAGGTGAACGCCAATGTCCTCGAGATATTAGTAACACTGTGGTAGTAGCTCAACTCACGTGCCCATCTGCCTGCAGGTAAGGGCGTGTGACACCTGGGCAGGATGCACCTGATGACTCCATCGTTAACTCTTGGACCACCTCAGCCTACACCGAAGGCTGCTAGGTGAATTCAAGGGGGGCGTCCGGGCCATTACTCGTCAATGCCCAGCACACCGGAGCGGCAGAGACTGCGCAGTCTTACATTCTGCAGTCTCCTTTCTCTCTCTAGTAGAGAACTGAGTATCAAAGCATGCCAAACATCCATTATTAAATGCAACTTATAAAACCCCCAACACAGTCTCGCTCAGGGGTCCCTTCGCTCTGTGTTAGCTGCTGCTGCTTGTATCTTGGAATCTTATCTGTCCATTCGAAAATCTTTAGTCCTTGTCAGGATTCATTCTGGAGGTCTGTAGTTCGGGGAAGCCAGGCGAAGACACGTATCTACTTTGATTTGGCTACTGAACACCTTTCACCGTTCCAGCGTTGAAAGCCAGTGTTGACACGCATTTAAATTTTTCCCTAAAAAATGATTAACCAATCTCCGACACCGAAAACGGAGTCCATCTCCCCGTGACGGGATCCTGCGAACCTTCCGGAGCGTGGACCGGCGGCCCAGACCTCGGATCTGTAGTCTCCGGGGCCTGGAGCCCGCCTCCGATAACCCGAGCAGTACCTGGCTGCCCCGCCGGCGGCCGCACAAAGAACCAGGCAGGCGGCCACCCAGCGGAGCCGCAGAAAGTAGTCCCGACCACGCCGGCTCCAATGTTTTTCGACGTCGCTCCACGCCCTCCGCGGGGAGGGTGCCAGCAGCCGGCCCGGGAAAGAATCCCATCGGAATGCGCCGCCGGGCGGCCTTTTCTCTCCAGCTGGCTTGTTCTCGCGCGGCGTATCTCCCACAGTGTCCCCGTGGAGGACTGTGCGAGGGTCCCTGCCTCTTTTCCTCCGTGCTTGTGAGGCGGCACTGAGGGAGGGGGTCGGCCGCGCGCAGGGAAACCTTCGCGGCGACTTGGAGACCGCGAAGACTGGCCAGTCGGCTGTATCCTTGCGCCGCTACGCGTAAGGAAGAGGCTGAATGAGGAGCTGCGCGGGGGACGTGGGGCGCCGGGGGAGGAGGCGGCGGGATGGGAGCAGACGCTGGCGTCGCGCGAGCCCGGGGCAGAGCGGCGCGGTAGAGAGGGCGGCGGCGGCAGCCACGCGCGCGGAGGCTTGACGTGCCCCTTTCTTTCTTCTCTCTCTGGGAAGCATGAGCGTGCAGACGCGCCGCTACGGCGGCCGCCGGGGCTCCTCGCCTCCCCCTCTTCTGGTCGCCCCTCGCCGGTGAGAGGAGAGAACGCGAGACGGGAAGATGGGGGCCGTCCTGAGGAGCCTGCTGGCCTGCAGTTTCTGTGTGCTCCTGAGAGGTGAGACGCGAGGACCGGAAAGTTGGTGGGCTTTGGTGTGTGTGCGTGTGTGTGTGTGAGGGGGTAGGTGGCCTTGCTGTGTGTGTCGGGCGGGGGAGGGGAGGGAAGGTGGAAAAGGGGAAGAGGAGCGAGGAGGAAGGAGAGGCCTGTTCGCGGGGAAGGAGGGAGAGAAAGGGGCCCGGGAGAAGGGGCTGTGAGCACCGCCTGGCCACAATGCAGACCCCTGCCTGGCTCTCCGGACTGGATCTGGACAAAGCTGAGTCTCAGTTCGGGCTGATGATCTTGGCAAACCCCTGGCACCCTATTCTGTCGGGATAACTTGAGTGTCTATGCATCTCTTTCTGCCGGGAATGATCAGGGAACAGTCTTTGTACGTATTTGGCTTTAAATATGTTTGAGCTCAAGGTGCTTCAATGTTGGCCTTCTCCCTCGAAGCCCCCCACCTTTTGCATGTCTGTTAGGTGAACTTTTAAGCCCTTTTGCAATTTTTTCCAGGCCTTGTTTAAACTAATAATTGACTTCCGTTTGGAATATAATGATCCTGGATGAGAGCACAGTTGGAAAGTGACTCGGGGTTTAGAGGTCGAGCGTTTCAGCCTTGGCAATTTTTTGAGCTTTAGCCCACGATCGAATACAGACGTCGTTCTTGTAACCCCTGGTATTCAGGACTCGCCCCTGTTTTCGGAGTATGCAAGTTGTACAGTTGGCACCAAGTAGGGGAGTCATCGTTGAGTGACGAGCCTGTCCTGTCCAGGGAACTGAATTATCATTTGCAGTGCACCCCTGGGAACAACTTGGCACTTTGGAAAATGACAGAGTGCTCTGGATAATTTGCTCTGGGAATTACTTAAAGTCAGTGCTATGTGATGTTTTAAATTGGACTGCAAAGCTGACACACAAACTGGCTTTTAATTTGTGACAACTTATAGAAGTTTTTGATTGGCCGGCAAGGAATGTCGACAGGTCTCGCCAAGTTGATTAGTGTTGAAGTGGAAATGAAGCTGATGATGTGGAGCTTTTTATTTTATTTTATTTTTTATTTTTATACTAGCAGAGGAATGTTACCTGCTGCTGGATGCAGTGGCTGGTAGTTTTGGTTTTGTTAATTTCACATGGCACTTCCTTTCAGGTGTGGGATCTCTTGAATCTTTGTGGGCATTTCAAGCTATTAAAAAGCAAGTTAAACTTTTGTTCAGTTCTTCAAAACTTCAGAAGTTTACTGATCATGATAGTAACTAATGATCTTGTACAAGTTTGACAGCTGTGTCATTTGTTTTTTGTAAAAATGATTGTTTTTATTTTCATGACCCTCCTGCACCATTTCTGTGTCTGCATATATGATATTTCTTAGTAAGTGTGGCTCCATTGTAAGCATAAACTGTGTAGTTCCCCATGTAAACTCCAGAAAAATAGTGCGTGCTCAATTTTCACGGCAGAGAATTTAGTGTTATATACCTGAGAAATTTAATAAGTATGTGTTTATTATAGTATACTTGCTACTGAAAGGAGATTTAGCTACAGCAGTGAGAAACAATTATAGTTGATATAAGAATATATATTTAAAATAGATGTTAATAGAGTTAACAAACATGAGAGCCAGCAGATTGCTTGGAGTTTTGAAGAAATCTAAATCTATAACCTGGGTGCTTTGGTTGCTCAGTTGTATTTCTTGTAAGGGAAGGGTGTGATGCAAATACAATTTGTTTATTTTAATATCCATAGCTGAGTTTTGAGTTTGCTTGAGTTTAGGGAAGTGGTACTTTGAGTAACACTTTTTGAACAAAATGTTATGTAACAAAACCTGGAAGAGGTGATAGTTTGTCTTCTTTCCATTACCAAAGTCTTCAGAAGTGGAGCTGTTAGCTGGGTGTGGTGATGCATGTTGGTAATCCCAGTACTCTGGGAGACTGAGGCAGGATAACAACTTCAAGCCCATCCTGGGCAATTTAGTGAAACTGTCTCAAAATAAAAATGTAATAAATAAATACAAGGGACAGAGGACGTAGCACAGGGTGAAAGCCTTGGGTTTCAGTCTCCAGTATGGAGTAGAGGTATAAGGGGTGAGTGGGTGGAGCTGTTATTTTAAATATAGCATAAGAAAGGAATAAGGTGGGCGTTTTATTTAACAATATTTAACTGTGAATACATGACACTTAAACTAAAACTGTCTTTCATGTAAAGATGTTTGGTTGTGATTTAGGTTGTTTTCACCTCTTGATAGTGTCATTCTGTGTTATAAATCATAAAAGTTGCACCCTAAGGAGAAAATGTGATTAATTTGTTGCCTTAAGGTCATGACCTTTTCCTTTACAGAAGAGTTGGAGCTTTTAGGTGTTTAATGGTGTGTTTAAGAGAGTTGGAGAGAACTTTGGTCCTGTAGGTTTGTTAATCAGTAGCTGAAAACCAGGGTATACTGTCTCATCCAGGCTGCGTCTCTTTACCTGTTAAGTGACATGGTATAATGGAAAACTTTGGAGAATGCAACACCAGAATCTTGAGTTTAAAGCCAGAGCTTCATTACTTCCTAACTTTGTGGTTCTGGTCTAGTCAGCTTCTCTGGACCTCAGTTTCTTTACTTTTAAAATGTGAATAATGATATCTGTGTGACTAATTTGGAGGATTATTGGGTGTGGTAAATGAGGTGCTTAATGTAAAATACTTTGCAAATGTTTTATCCTAATTTTGATTCCCGAACATACCGTCAGTAGTTGGGGATTTGAGGTTTAATTTGCATTAGTTTCATGAACTCTTAAAGAAGAATCTTGAACTCTGAGTCTAACCACTTCACTCCTAGGTGGGGAAATTCAGATTCAGAGAGACAGTAAATTGATCAAGATTTTAGAGCAATTAATGGTACAGCATATAAATGTGTGTGTGTGTGTGTGTGTGTGTGTGTGTGTGTATATCTCCTACAGTGTTGAGAAAACAAACATGATTTCTGCATTAATGAATCCAACAATTCAGTTTGCTATCTTATCATTTGAGTTCCATCCAGGTACTGACCTAAGTGTCTTTGATTTTTCTAGAGGAAATATTTTTGCTAAAAATTACAAGTTTTAGGATACCATCAAAGTGTGTAAGCTTTGTAAATACTGTATCTTAGCTTTTTTTGAGAAGGTTTGTTGTATAAAATTTATTGCTTACTTTGTTTTGTTGCAGTGGTAGTAAATAATATCAGAACAAACCACTAATGTTTCCCAATTTATATATCTGTAAGAGTAGCTTTTTTAAAGTTTCTTTTTTTTTTTTTCTTTTTTAAAATCAGTATTGTAAAATTTTGAGGGGTCAAATGAATTTTGAAGTGGGAATAAGGAGAATGATTCTCTGATTCTGAGTTTATCTGTAGCTAGCTGTGTGACTTTAGATGAATCACTCATTTTCTGTACATTTTACTGTGTTCTTTAGGGTAAAGAATTCTTGTTTTGGAGATGTGTAATTCATAGTATTATATTAAGTGCTCTGAGAAGTCCTGAGATAGAGAGACTAGTTTTAACTGTGTTTAACCAGATATTTTCCAAACTTGGCAATTTTTAAAAGGAATGCTTTTAAGTCATAGGTGATTCATGTAAATTGTTATTTGATGATAGTTTCATATAGTTTCATCAGATACTTTCTTTACATTTTTCTTTTTTGGCCTTAGGTTTGGTTGTTTGGCTGGGAATTATTTGATTATGAAATTTTAAGGTTTTAATTTAGCTCATTATCAGAAGGACTAACAATGATTTCTTATGGTTTTCTTTAGAAGATTATTTTCTTTGCTTTAATTGAAGATTTTTCCATTTGCTGATCTGAACTACTGTGTTGGAAACATGTTTTGGCAATCAGAAAGGACTTACCTTTATTTGAATATCAAAAGAGATTCTGTGAAGAGGTACAAATGGAAAGTATTATCTGAGAACATTTATTTTTGTTTGAATTATTTGGATGTACTAGAGAAACAAGTTACATAGGTGGTTGTTCTGTTTAAGCTATGGGTTAAGTAGTGCAGAAAAAAGTCCATTTTCACTCTGGAAGTTTTATTGAAAACTTTTATATTTGGAGACTGCTAAGAAGAGGGATACTGTAGCGGAAAGCTGTAGGCTTTGTTGTGAGACAGGTGAAGTTCATTGCCACTTTATATGTATAGCTTTGGATAAATTGGCCTTAGTTCCTTCTGTTTAGGTGGGGATAACTTCCAAGATTTTAGTGAGAATTAATCAGATATTTGTGAAGGGAATAGTATAGTGCGATCAATAGTGGACATTGAATAAATGTTTGCTATTAGACTGATCACATGAAAGGAAGTATTTGTGCTCTGTATTAGAAAATACCAGTGAAACATTTTAAGTGCCTGCAAAATTGGAGGCACTGTTTTGGGCAATTGATACTTTTCGGATCAGTGTTTTTTTTTTTTTTTTTTTTTGAATCTCTAACTGAATTAAAACTCCACAAAATACTTTTACTTCTATGTTTTCTACTTTAATTTGAAATAGGATGGCCACTAAATGTGTTTTACCTGCTAACAGTTGCAACCGTAACACTGTTTCAGGTGATTATTATAAATAAGGTAATTCAGGTAATTGTGACATTTACTTAAGAGTTAAGTATGGATGAAATTTTTTTATCAAAATATTCTCTGAAAAATTGTATTACTTGTTTACAACAGTTAAAATTATTCAGCTGATAGACTCCTCTCTACAGATGAAGAGATCATACACTGAATTCTTGAATTATATGTTCATTCTTTATGTATCTTTTGTAAAATAAGCCTCATTTTAATGAATATACTTCATTTGAGTAACTGAAATTTAGTCAAGTACATGGATTAGAATAGTTGACTTGTCTTCATAGTTATTTAAAGTGCAGTTTGTTAGCACATAAATACAGGGAAAACTGTTACTTGATACTAACACATGCTTATGTTTCTCATGCTTTGTGTTATTTTGTGACAGTGATTATGCTCACAAAAAAGTTCAAACTGTTTAGGCATAATATTAGAAAATATTAAAATGTTCTTAGTC